TGGGATGAAGGAGGAAAGGGCTCACGAAAAAAGCGTGAGAAACTCAAATGGCGAAAAGTGGGCGCGAGTGAGAAAACCCGAAGGGAGGGAGGGAGGGAGGCTGAGGGCGAACAATCGGGTTAAAAATAGAACTACAGACTCCATGGGACTCGCTCCGTCCAGCTCCACCCCGGGGCCGGCCCCGCCGGTGACTCGGCTCCGCGCGACAGCCGCGCGGCCAGGCCCCGCCCCCGAGGAGCCGGTGACTGACCCGGGCGGGGGCGGGGCGTCGGGCGCTTACGTCACCGCGCTGCCCTGCGCCGCCGTCGCCGCCGTCGGGGTTTTCGCTGACGCACAGGCCCCGCCCCTCCCTCCCTCTCTCCCTCACGGCCCGGGCGCGGGGCGGAGAGGAAGCGTCAGTCGGCCGGACCGCGGACCTGTCTGCATGTAGTCGGGCTCGCTCGCCCCCCTCCCGGGAGCCACAGCCTCATCGGCGGTAGCACCCAGCGACGGAGGAGAGCGCCATCGGCGGGCCCTCGCGGCGCCCAGTCCTCGCGGCGCCCGCCCCTCTCGCCCTCGGAATCGGCCCTACCCGCCGTCGCTGGCGGAGGCGTGAGGAGAGACGACGGGCGAGCGCCGCGAGCTGCGTTAGCCGCCGCCGCAGCCTCCGGTCCTCCCTCCGCCTCCTCCCCCGCTTCCCGAGCTCCATCGGGCCCCGGCCACGCTCGGAGCGCCCGCGGAACAAAAGAAGGGCCCCCGCGGCGGCGGCGGCAGCAGCGCCACCTCCGCCCGCGGCTCCTTACCCGCTCCCGGCCCGTGGCTGCGGCCCCCGGGCGTCCGGCTCGCCCGTCCTCAGGCTTCGGCCCGGCCCCAGTGCGCCGGCGTCGCGCGCAGGCCCGGCCCCGGCCTCCTGCTCACGCGGGTGAGTGCGGGCGCAGCGGGAGGGCGCGTGCCGGCCGGGGTCGGCCTCGGGGGCCCCGGAACCCCGGCGCGGCCTGAGCGGGGAGCGGGGGGGGGGGGGGGGAGGGAGGGTCGCGCATGGCGGCCCCCGCCGGCCGGCTGCCTCAGGAAACACAAAGACGGAGGCGTCATCCTGTCGTCGTGGCCGGAGGCCGGGCTCCCCGGGCGCCCCCGGCCCGCTCGCACGCGCACAGTCGGGGACAATAACCCGGCTGGCGCGCGGCCTCCGGGGCTCGGGGCTCCGGCCTCCGGGCCTCCCCCCGCGGCGCCCGACGTGGGCAGACCTGGGCCCGGGAGACAAAGGCGTCGGTGGCGGCCGCGCCCCCCGCTCGCCGCCACCCTCCTCCCCCCTCTCCCCCCACAACTCTGCCGCCGCCGCCTGGGGAACCGTTGGGGCCGGGGTCGGTGCGGGCCCGCGGGGTGAGGGGCCGGCCGGCCCGCCCGGCGGGGCCGCTGTTGTGCATGACTCAGGAGTTTTTGGAGAAGGCCCCGGCCGTCGGGCTGCTGTTCCCGAGCGAGGGCCTGAGCTTTTTTTTTTCTTGGCCAAGGGTGCGAGGCCGGTAGGGACCCGAACTCGTTCCAAAACCCGCGGGAACGTGGGTGAGGGAGCCCTCTCTCTCTCTCTCTCTTGGTGCTTCATTTTTTTTCCCCCAACGTCGCTGGCCTTCCTCGCCCAAGATCCCTTTTCACGAAGGAAATGGAGCGCCTTCCCCTTTGTTTCGTGCATTTAGGCTGGTGAACGTGGAAGTCCTCTGCTGTGTTTTGGGAAAGGCCCTGGGTTATCTTTATCGAACGAATGCCTCCCAAGAATTTGGTCTAAGGACCTAGAAATGGGAAGTAATATAGGTCACAGAGCCCCCTGTTCTTAAACCAGGCATTCAGGTAATCTACAAGAAAGAAAAAAAAATCTGAAAAAGTAGGATTTTAGAACGTTGGGGAAAGCACTGCAATTTAATCTTGATTTTTTTTTTTTTTTCTTTTCTTTAAATGGGCCTGAAAGGGGATTTGTTTGTAGTTTTTCCCTATTTTCTGTCACCGAGGCCCGGTATTAAGTTTGGCAAGGAGCCTTTTAAAATCACACTAATGTACTCTTATTTGGTAAGGAGGAAACTGAGATAGGGAGTGAGGACTTGCCCAAGGTCACTGGCTTGGCTAGAAATAGATTAGAGGCTAGAACTCTGGTATCAACTTCAGGTGAGTGGGCATTCTTAACATCTTTTAGCATGTCTAAATTCCACAGATTTCTTAAAAATTTTTTAGGTTTTTTTTTGTATTTTGTGTTTTTTGTTTGTTTTTTTATTATATACATTTGAGGCTGAAGAGTTCAGTTGCATGCCCAAGTTTTGGAGTTTTGTTGATGGTTTGTTTTTTGAAACTATGGGTTAAGAGCCAAAACTAACATTGCCAAGCAGGAGGAGACCACAGTACCTATAGCAAGCTCCCCCTCCCCCCGCAAGAAAAAAATTACCACTAAACGTTAGTATTTTTTCTGCCTTGATGCTCTCTCCACTGTGCTTGGTTTTTATAAACAACCCTGGCCATTTTGGCTTCGTGCGTGATTAATGATGCCTGCTTGCATCTTTTAGATTGAATTTGAGATTGTTCTCTAACCCTCCCTACATTAGAGAAAAACTGTAGCAGCCTACATGATCTTTTTTATTTGTTTTCTTATATTAGATGTATGAAGGCTGCATCCTTAGGTTTTGAGGTTGTGTAGGAGTTGGCAGGCTCTGGGATATAAATAGAAGCTGATTTCAGAGGCCCCTGTTGACTAGGCTTTATGTGAGATCCTCCATCCAGCTCGGCCTGTCACATTGCTGCCTTGTGACAGGCTGAAGCGCCGCCCATGTGATCTAAGCTCCTGAGAAATATTAAGGCAAGCTGTGCACATGTGATGGCATTTAAAACCTGGCTTTCTAGGGGGGAATAGTCTACAAGATGAGAGCCATCTAGAAGACATTTACCCTGTTATCTCAGAGTTGAAGACTATAGTGAATTGAAGGTAGATGTGTTTATTGTTTTCTGAAGAAGGAAAGGTGGAATACTTCTCATGTCGAAGTGGATGAAATCATTGGATGAGATTCCCCCCCCCCCCATTTTATTTACATAAAGAAGATTTTAAGAATCATATTGACGAATGTTAATGTTTGTTGTCTCAAATTTAAGCCAATTTGCTTGTAAAGCCACTATCCGATGACACTGCAAGTTTGTATAGAAAGTGAGCTAGCGTAATTCTTAAACGGGCTCAAGGAATGGCCCAACTTTTTTTTTTTTTTTTTTAGGATAAAGCTTCACATACTTAGGGTAGAGGGCATGCAAATAAATACATAATTTATTATTTAAAGCATTTTTCTACATATGTGCAAATAATCAGCTGAAAGTGTTTATTAAACTTTATAAAGGATTTTGAAATGTTTACACTACTCTGCTCCAAAATGAGTCAGCTAAATTCCACTTACTATTTAAAGAGACAGTGTCAACTAAATTAATACTATTGTCTGAAGTAAATTGTGGATCTTGGTCACTCTCCATACAAGCTTGATTGGCTTGAAATATTTTAAAGCTTGAAAATGGTGTCTTTTTGCTAACAAAAGTAAAGCTCACTATTTAATTGGGGAGAGTAATTGTCAGGATTTAGCCAGGCCAGAATTTTAGTCCTCTTCCACCCTTTTAAGAAATAATTTTGTTAATAAAAATTGCTAATAATGAAGGCATAATTTGTAATATTTCCTTAAAAGAGTGTATTCTAGAAGTGGTAGTTGGAAAAAGCCTTATGAAATTCCAGAAGATGGCAAGCTGTAACTTGGAAATACTTTCCTGCACTTATTTGAAATGTTTGTAATTTAATAAACCATAAGTGATCTTATCAATAGTAAGGTACATTTAAATGAGTGACAAATTAGAGCAAATGATCTGTGGTTTTGTTTTTTTGTTTTTTTTTATAAAATGTTAAGTATGCTTTGTACATTGATACAAATTAATAGTGTGTGTTTTATCTTAACTCGGGAAAATTCACTAAACTTAGCAAAATATTTGTGCTAATTTTCTTTTTTTATATATTTGTGCTAATTTTAATAAGACTTGTGCAAAAAAGCAAGAATATGCTTTCTATATAAAGTTTTTTCTGGTAACCTAGCATTAAATATTAACTTACTAAAGGTTGTGTGTTTATATTGCTTTACTTTCTTTGCTTTGTTGAATTTAGCTTGAAAAGATTTCATTTTTTGGTATGAAAAAGGCAGACACTTGTTAAGTTTCAAGAGATAGTCTTTAGCTGAGAAAGCTATGGCTGATAATGTGTGCATTACAGGTTTCTTAGGCACTGACTTTAAAAGTATCCAGACGCAGATTTCACACCTCAAATGTAGAACATAAAAGCATAAGCATCTGACCCCCTGAATTCTTAGAGCTTCACTTGTTGATTCCAAGGTAACAGGAAAGGCTAGGTCATCTACCAGCTCTCATTTCAGTTCGCAGAATTGTTGAATTACTAGTTGGGCCCAAGCATGTTCAGATGTTTTAAGAAAACTTTAGAGCTATATCTACTATACAGCTAATTTAAAGAATCACTACACTATTAGTTCTCAAGTGTCAGTAATTAAGATTGTAGGTTTTACCCATTTGCAAGTTTCATTTAAATATTTTTAACCAATGTAAAATATTTTTAATCGTTGTGCAAGAGAACAGAAAGGAACTTAGATATCAGTTGCCCAAATTGATATAAATGTAATTGTGATATCAGAGTGACCTTTTCAGAAATTGAAATAAATACATTTTAATGTTTAATGGTAGAATCTTTTTGCCTAATAATCAACCTATGTGAAATCATTATAGGTCATTATTTATCGAGCTATAAAACAATTCCTTTCATGCCCTTTGTTTTATAAAGGCAGCAAAATATTCATGTTTTTCTTGCCCTACTTTTTTAATTTTGGCTTTCGTTAGAAATAAACTTGATGTTTAGAAAAACTAATGGCCATCATATACTAATTTAGTGATTTTACTTTAGTTACATGCTAGTTTCTAAAATTTTGTTTTTGTTTTCTTTATAGCAGAAAAATATGGCTCAGGAGACTAACCAGACCCCAGGGCCCATGCTGTGTAGTACAGGATGTGGCTTTTATGGGAATCCTAGGACAAATGGAATGTGTTCTGTTTGCTACAAAGAGCATCTTCAGAGGCAGCAGAATAGTGGCAGAATGAGCCCAATGGGTAAGTTGTTTCCAAGGAAAAACCCATTTGAAGAATTTGTGAACAGAAAACATAGAGCCAAGAATTGGGGCTTAAGACCAAGAATGAATGCTGAAAGCCCAAAGAGAGAAGACAAGAAAAGTTTGAAATTAAAGCAACAGCCAAAGTACTTGGTATAACTACATCAGGAATAAATGACTATCAACGAGCATCTTGACTAGCTTTGTCATTTTTCTTTTTGTTTTTGTTTCATACTTTTATTCACTGGATATGACTTTTTAATATATATTTTTTTTTGGATACTTAAGTGTAGGAATCTGCAGCACAATGAAAATGCTTAAACCACTAACTTAATTAAATGCAAGTATTTGTTACTTATTAATAGTCTTGATACTGATTATAGTATTGCTTTGTTTCTTACAAATCCTTTTTTTTTTAAAATAGGGACAGCTAGTGGTTCCAACAGTCCTACCTCAGATTCTGCATCTGTGCAAAGAGCAGATGTTAGTTTAAACAACTGTGAAGGTGCTGCTGGCAGCACATCTGAAAAATCAAGGTAAGATTGAGCATTTCAGAGTTTTTATGGTAATAGGAAGAAATTAAGATATCTGTGCTAGCCATATAATTTTAATTATGTGTTCCTATATAGTAAGGATGTTAACATATCAAATGCCCTTGGCTTTGCATCTGTTGCACAGTCAGGAATTTCAGTATCTTTTAATGTATGATCTTGTAGGTCATTGAGTAAAATGTACATTATAAAGCACTCTATACCACCACCAAGGATGCTGTGTTGAGAATGCTGTGCTTTTATTTCCTTGTAATTGAGGTTAGAGGTTATAGGGAGTGAGGCTCTGCAGACTTTAGTGTAATGCCACACAAGGCATTTTGGCGAACTGCCCCCCTTTGCCCTTAAACATTACAGGCACAGCTCAAAATTTTTAGTTGGCTATTAATAAAACATTGTGACTTATACAGATATGCAGCCTTGAATTGAGCCATTTATCAAATTGCTTGCTTTTATTCTCAACCATTTTTGCTGAGCATCCAGTATTCTTTTAAATTTTTAGATTATTTAGCTCCATTTGATATGTTGGAAATAATATATAATATGAAGTTGAACTGACAACTTATCTCACGAAGAAGTACCCTTAACAACTTTAAAAATGTTTGCTTGAACTCAAATAGAAATGTGCCTGTGGCTGCCTTGCCTGTAACTCAGCAAATGACAGAAATGAGCATTTCAAGAGAGGACAAAATAACTACCCCGAAAACAGAGGTGTCAGAGCCAGGTATGCATTTTGTTTAATATTAGTTCAGTTCTGGACTTGTAGTATGAGAAAGGGTTGGTGGGGGGATTTGTTCCTTCCCATTGAAGGATCAAAGAAGGAGAGAGCTAGAAAATACAGGCCAAGCAAGAACCACTCTCTTTAGAGAGTATAAATAAAATAGTCATTCTATTCTCTTCTTTCTTCTCTGCCCATCCCTACCACCCCCTATACCAATAAATAGGCAAAGTCTATAATCTGGAGATTGGAAGTATTAAGAATTTAGTGAACTTAAAATAATGTATTACTGTCATATTTTAAAAGTATGTAAATCATTAGAGAAGGTATTGTTCGTAAACCTGGAAAAATTTTATGTAGATTAAATTTCAAAATTGAAAATTTTTAGGTCAAAAGCAGTAACAATATTGTCAACATATTTAACACTAAAACTTTCAAGTTGGAGTGTAGGATCCCATATTTTCTGAGAGTTTAAAACTCAGTATGGAAAGTCATTTTTTTGTTTAGTGATTTTGAGTCAGTGCTTAACTTCTATAGCAACCATGAATACTCTAAATGTATTAACCAGAAGACTGACTTGTTTGAATTATCTGTGCTGGGCCTAGAACAAGAATCTGTATATTACAGTTCACATATTTTATTTTTTATCAATTCATTATTTCCTAGTAGTATTGATTGAACATAATATAAAGCTTTATGGAAATAATGTCAGTGAATATATAATCTCTTTTGTAGGCTACCTTTTTCTAACATCACAAGCTTATGTGAACTAAATTAATCTTAATTTATAAAATTAAAGTGAAAATTTATAAGTTGAGCAAGTGAGTCCATATTTGATATTTTGAAATGAGTTCTATCCTTCTGGAAAAGTGGACCAAATTTGTGTGTATGTGTGTGGCTTTTAAGGCAGGGGCAGGATGTGTTTTAAACATAAATTAGATTGGCCTTAATAGTATTCTGGGTTAGATCTGTAGCTAGTCTGCATTTATTCTCTTAGTGGGAATTCTGTAATTCATGATTTTTCTGTCTTTTTCTATATCATTTTTTTTTTTTAACCCTTCTTATCTTTATGGAACCACTGTTTAGTTTTTAGGTGTGGCTCAGGAAATGGCTATCACTCTTCCCTATCCCCAAACTATTGTCATTCCACCAGGAAAAATTATAATGAGGTTGTCATAGTAGATTGTTAGGAATAAGTAATAGGTGGAATATTCTGTTAAGCTATTAATCTCTCTGAATAAATTACGAATCCAAATGAGTTATGAATTTGGGAAGAATTTTTAGGATAAGTTGTACCAACTCTTGGCTCTAGAATTTGGACTTAAGGCTTCTAGCATTGGCTTCTATTTTAGGCAGTAATTTTAGCATTGCATATATTAATTTGCTATTGTTGACGTTTGGATCAATATTAAAACTCAGTTTATAAATGTAGTTGAATTTTATAAAAGTATAGTCAAATTTGGTAAATGTCTAGTGGTAATATGGAGTAATCTGCAGTTTTACCTTCATATTGACAAATTCTGTTGATTTCATGTTGGCAAGTGGACTTTTAATAAAAATATATATATATTTTTAGTTTTGTCCATAAAATCCTTAACAGTCTAAAGTCAAAACTGCACAAGTACTTGTCCTAAAGACAATGTTTGCTAATCTTTCAAAGGAAACTTAAAAAAAAAAAATCTTCCAGATCTTCTGAATAACACTAAAACACTTATTATAATGGCAAAATAATTATTGTGACATTTTAGGATCTGAAGATCGTGATTAATAATTTGGGTTTCACTTGTCAAAATTTGCTGGTTTTACTACACAATCTTTTTCCTGTAAATCTGAAACCAAATGGACATTTTTATAGTCAAGTACCTTAGAAGTTGTTAACTATTTACTTAGTAGTAATGAATTTCAACAGCCCTAATTAACATGTTTATATGTAGGCAACTGCAACATGGAAAAATACATAACATGTGGCCAACATTTTTTAGGTCTTTAAAAACTTTTAGAATTGGGGTTTCTTAGTACTAGCTAGCTGCTAAGAGAAGTTTAAAAGATCTATGAGTAGGGTGATAATTTTATAAAATTTAGTGGAACAAGTGGTATGTTGATTGGTAAGAAATTCTTATATTTAAAAGTTCTTATATAAAAGTAAAAAGTCCTAGGTGTTTTTATTTTTTTCAGCATAGCTAATTGGTTAATTAGCAGTCAGCTGAATGCTTGACAAATTTCTAATTTGTACCTTTGTTTTTCAGTTGTCACTCAGCCCAGTTCATCAGTTTCTCAACCCAGTACTTCTCAAAGTGAAGAAAAAGCTCCTGAGTTACCCAAACCAAAGAAGAATAGATGTTTCATGTGCAGAAAGAAAGTTGGCCTTACAGGTATTAAACAACATAATAAACTGTATATTTTACAGATAGGGTTCTCCAAGGAGCTCCTGGTCTCTTCATAAGGGACTGATTGATCTTACAAATAAAACAAAATCTTCCAGATCTTCTAAATAAGACAATAAAGCACTTGTTATAACGGCAAAATAAGTCATTGTGAAATTTCAGGATCCCAACTTTCAGTAATAGAAAGTTTCTAGAATGGACTAGAAAGGGGGATAGTGGGAGGAAGTCTAGTTTGATTTCCATTTGTCTCCCTAATCACACGAAATCCTTTTAACTTGAGGCCTTATGAATTACTTTATTTGATTGATAAAAATACATTCCTTTTGATTCTTCCCTTTGTTCTCCTGTTTAAAAGGAAGTAGAACTAAATAGTGCCTACTTTGAGCCAGGAATAAAATATTCTAGATACTTTTTAGTTGTTTTGTTTAATTGGTTGTCTTTCCTTTGTTTTCACATGAAACATTACCTAGTTAACATGCAGTAGGAGGAGGATTTAAATCCAGGTCATTCTGATTCCAGAGCCTGTGTAATAATTACCCTGTGTGATATCTATGGGAGTCTGTGGAAGAATAGTTATTTGAATTTCTCACCATGTCAAAGGTGGTTTAAAAGCTGTTTCACAATTTAAAGTGACAGACTTTGTCTTATTGCAAAGAGCCGTGAAAGCTGGTTCCTTTTTTCTTTTCCTTTTAATTGCTACAAGTTCCCAAGTGACCCTGCTTCCTCTTGTGTGTACAGGGTTTGACTGCCGATGTGGAAATTTGTTTTGTGGACTTCACCGTTACTCTGACAAGCACAACTGTCCATATGATTACAAAGCAGAAGCTGCAGCAAAAATCAGAAAAGAGAATCCCGTTGTTGTGGCTGAAAAAATCCAGAGAATATAAATTACTTCTTGTGAAGAGACTGAAACTTTGTTTTTATTTTAATATATCGTAGGAAAACATTAAAGAGCAGATGCATGGCCATTTTTCTTTGATGTTCTCCAGAGTTTTACTTTATACTACTTGTCTGTCTTATAATTGATATTTTAGGATGTTTGGGTGTTTGTTACAGGCAGAATTGGACAGATACAGCCCTACAAAATGTATATGCCCTCCCTTGAATAAAATTGGATGAAATCTGCATATCAAATTGAATTTCACATAACAAGGACAAAATTTAGTTCCCACGTGCCAAACAAAACATGAAATCTGCATGTTTGCAGCATATCTGCCTCTCGGGAATGTATCAAGGTATAATCTTTGGCTAGTGTTATGTGCCTGTATTTTTCTAAAAAATGGTACACCAGAAAAGGACTGGCAGTCTACTTCTACCATAGTTAAACTTCACTGTTAATTTCCACATGTTCTTTGGAAGCAGGAAGAAGGTGATAAAGAGGATCAGACCTTTCCACAAAACTAATATTTGATGCCACATACAAGCATGGCTAATTGGTCTAAAAGCTGTCAAATAAAGACATTCTGTGAAAGGTAAACATTGCAACTGGTTATAAGAATAAAACCATCAAGCAACAGGGTCTGGAGCTGTCTTTGAAGCTTATTGGCCTGCACCAGAAGATTCTGCATTACTTATTGCTAAAAAAAATATGTGTAGCACAGAACTGCACTAGAATTAATTTGTTTACAAGAAGAAATTAAAACTGCATTTGGTTTTCACATACAGCAGCTCTGTTGAGTAACATGCATCTGAATTTTAAGTTGCAAAGGTATCTGAACAGTTAATTTTTCATGTGCATCTTTTCTTGAATGTTTTGGTTGAAGAATGAATGTTCAGAGCTTTTTTAAAAGACTTCAGTTCTTACTGTAACTACCCTTCTGCATGGAGAATCATAACCAACATGGCTGCAGTAGACTTCTTACCTAGTGGTATCCAGCACCACTTGCAGAGGGCTGCTTTATCATTAATTGTACTTGGGTATAGGACTAGTGTTCTTGGGTGTGTTGCATGGGCTGCATTATTTACAGCATTGTACAATAACAACTAGAAGAGGCAGTATACTTCATTGATGCTTGTCTGGTAATATCACTTCTGTGTTATAATGGAAGGTTTTCTGTGTATGAAACGTGTTTTTTATGTATAAATGAGTATAGTTAGATTAGTGTTGTGGTAATGCCTGTTTTCATCTGTAAATAGTTAAGTATGTACACGAGGCACTACTTCTGATTTATTGCAGTGTTCAGTCTTAGTTTTACTTTTGTTCTTAAAGCACTCAATTTTGCTTTCAAATCTTTGTACCTTAGTTCTGAGTTAGATTTGCAGATGTGTACAGATAGTTCATATTTATGTATTGCACATAATCATGCTATTCAGCATCGATGCTATATTGTATTATGTAAATAATAAAAGCCATGTACAGAGGGAAACTTCCACTTGTTCATTGGGTTTTTAAGCCATAGTTAGAAATTCTACAGGGGGATGATTATAAAAGGTTTCAAATTCAACTTTTTAGTTGCATATGTAAACTTTGCATGGCTGTTGTTTTGTTTTTGTTTTTTTTTTTTTTCATTGCCTTCTCAATGTGTTAAAGTGAGAACCATGAGATGAGTTTTGTAAAAAATAAAGTATGGTTACACAATGGGCAACTGTCTGAAGAAATGTATAGGCTATTTTAGGATCTTCAGGTGTCTTGGCACTTAAGGAATGATATTTGAACAATCAATGGGTGTTCCCCTCCCCTCCCTTTTTTGTTTACTTTATAGATAACACTTTAGGCATGACAATTAGTACCAAAAAAAAAAAAAACAGGTATAGTTTTGTTTCACTTGTTTTGGTTCTAATGTAGAGATGGGTCCAAGAGTTTGCTCTTGAAGGTGTCATAAGAGATAATAAGAAATAACAGTGACATATTCTGACCTTGCCCGGGGGTAACTGAAGCCAAGGATAACCATGGCTTTTCAGTATTGGAGTTTGACTATCATTTGTCATAGTTCTTTGGGTGTTAGACTTCTGTTTTCAAAAGTATTATGACAAGATAAGGATACCATCTCCTGAAATATGAAGGATACTGGAGAATCACAGTTTAGTACAAAAAGTATGACCTATTTTCCTCCTCACTGCTACCTCTTGTTAACATTTAAGATTTTCATATCAATGTGGTATGTGGGGGATAAAGAAAATTTGGAAGGTGATCGACCTTTGGACTTCCATCTATAAAGGTCACTGAATAAATGTTTCCAAAATCAGTTTTTATAAGAAACAAGACAAACTTGATTTTATAGGATTTAATTTGTCAGAAGCATTAATTGGGAGGAAAAGGAAACCTAAGTTTGTAAGGCAGCTAGGAAGATTTAATTCTATATAAACTTGTATTCAAACGTTTCTTTTTTAAAATATATATATTTATTGATAGGAAGGGAGAAGGATAGAGAAACATTGATGAGAGAGAATCATCAATCAGCTGCCTCCTGCACACTCCCCACTGGGGATGTGCCCGCAACCAAGATACATGCTCTTGACCGGAATCGAACCTTGGACCTTCCAGTCCGCAAGCCGACGCTCTATCCACTGAGTCAAACCGGTTTCAGCTCAAACATGAATGTTTCTAAGGCAAGACTAAAAAGGGGATTTAACTTTGGTGTATGTACACTGAGATACTAAGCATTTTAAGTGTGTCATATTTCTCAAAGATACCTCCAAAAATGTTTTGCTAGGACAAACCATGGTGACATGAATTAGCTGTATGATCTTGGCCTATGTCTTTCCTCAAATCTATTCTGCATTGGGCTTCAACCTGTAAAAAGGAGCCCTTGGTTTTCAGATTTGAGGTGGGCTTCCCATAGCGAATCAATTTGAAAAGGATAGAATTCAAGTAGTGTGTGGCATACTGGTTAAGAGGGTGATGGATCCTGGAACCAGGTTTCTTCATCTGTAAATAAGGATGGTAACTATTTGGCATATAGTAAGTATTCCCTATTAAATGTGTGACAAATTTTTTTAATAGCAGTTCTAGGTTCACAGTAAAATAGGAACGTGAAGAGATTAACCAATATACCTTCTCCCCTCCACACATGTATAGCCCCTCCTATTTAACATCTCCCACATTGACTCACTCAGTCCATTGTGTATAAGTTCACTAGGTACACATTCTGTGGACCAGCGTATGAGTGATATGTACCTATTGTGATATCACTATTTTCACTCCCCATAGAATACCCTGCCTCTGCCTACAACATATCCCAATTCCTGGCAATTATTGATTTTTATTGTCCATATTCTGTCTTTTCCAAAATGGCATATGGTTGGAATCAGTATGTAACCTTTTCAGATTGGATTTTTTTTTTTCTTTCATAAAATGCACAGGTTTCCTTCATGTCTTCATAGCTTATTTCTCTTTAGTGCTGAGTAATCTATTGTCTGGTTATGCCATAGTTTATCCTACTGAAGGACATCTTGGTTGCGTCAAAATTTTGGCAATTATAAATAAAGTAAACATTGGTGTGTAAGTTTTTAAAATCCTTTGGGTAAACACCAAGTGATGTGTAGTGGTATTTTAATTTGTGTTTCTCTGATGACATAATATGGAGTATCTTTTCATATTCCTATTTACCATCTGTATTGCTTGGTGAGTTGTCAGGCAAGGTCTTTGGCCCTTTTTTAAATCAGGTTTGTTTTCTTGATTTTTTTCTATATTTTTGGATAATATTTTTATCAGATGTGTATTCTGCAAATATTTTCTCCAACTCTATGGCATGTTATCCTCTTGAATCATTTAATTTCAGTGTCTCAGAATAATACTTTCTAAAAGTTGGAAATAAAATTATCTGAGAATGAGTGAGATTGGTAACATTAAGTCATAGTGAAAAGGTAAAGAACTGCAACTTTAAAATTTTGTTTGAAGTGATTAGACATTTTTTTTAAATTTTTTTTATTGTTTAAAATATTCCAAATTACTCCTTTTCCCCCATTGACCTCTCCCTGGCACTCCCATCCCAGAATCTTCTTTTATAGAGGGATGTATCATTTTTTTTATTAATTCATCAGTTGGTGACATTTGGTTTGTTTCCACTAATTTACATTGTTGGAAGTACTATAGATGTCTCCCTTTTTCCCACACATTTAACTCCCTCCCTATTCCCGCCCCCTCTCCAGCCCTTCACACTATTGTCTGTGTACATGGGTTATGCATTTAAGTTCTTTGGTTAATCTCTTCATGTCCCCCCTTACCTCAGATTCATCAGTCTGTTGCATGCTTATACGTCTTGATCTATTTTGTTTATCAGTTTATTTTCATTTGACTCCATATATGAGTGAGATCATATATTTGTCATTTTCTAACTCTTATTTCACTTAGCATAATTTCTAGGTCCCTCTATGTTGTCTCAAAGGGTAATAGAGCCTTTTTTAAAGCTGCATAGTATTTTATGGTGTAAATGTACCACAGCTTTTTTATTCACTCATCTATTGATGGGCTGTTTCCAGATCTTAGCTATTATAAATTGCATTGCTATGAACATAGGGGTGCATATATTCTTTCTGATTTGTGTTTCAGGCTTAGGATATATTCCTAGAAGTGGGATAATTGGGTTTTTGAGGAAAAACACTTTTCTTTAGTAGTTGTTAGAATCATTCTTTTCATTAAAGTTTTCTTTTGCACGTGTCTGTTAAATGATGTTCATAGCAAGTAGTAAATGTGAACAAATCTCTTTACTAAGTAATGTAATAGCAACATGTTAATGATACTACTGTTGTAATATTTGAGTTGGCAATAGATTCACAGGGTTCAAAAACAAATGTATCAGTATACTTTGAGAAGCAAAGCCTCTCTCCTGTCTCCCAAGACATACATTTTAGATAACTACCATAACTTGGAAAGGTGGTTTTATCTCTTCCATGTCATGTAAATGCTTGACTTAATTGGACTCTTGTTTGTGTAATTGTTTGACTT